TGCCGAACAGCCTCGCACTGACACGTTTCGTCATAGGCCCTATGACTAAGTCGGATATGACGAAACGCGTCAGGGAGAGGCTGTGTGGCGACCAGTGTTTTACATCTCACTGCAACACCTACAGGCTTTTTATTTGCTTTAATTTTGTAAGTGGCTGTCTATTCATAGCGATTAAAGGTGTTATTTTGTACTGCACCATTGGGGTATTTCTTTCTGGTTTCGACATGACCACTAATCCTGAGAGAGAGAAGATTAAGGAGAAGGAGAGTGTTATCTATGTTTCTATAAGCTCATCATTAGGAATCTGTTAACCTGTGAAGTAGTGTCAGCTGATCATGGGAATGACAGGCATGGAGATTGGAGGATAAACAGAGAGGAGTGTAATAATATCGATATTGGTTGACTTCCTTCCCATTTGGATTTGCTTTATGAGAGATTCCAGCCAACTATGAGAATGGGGGGCATGGGCATTCGGTGAGTGCATACCCGGAAGGAGGGACGCCAGATTTTTTCACGTGCGATTTCTTTTTGGGAATTAGATTTGGTGGAAGAGACATTTTATGGACTATTTATCTTTCACTTATGCCGATAGTACTGGCCTTCAAGAAACTACTTTTTTTGCACGGAATTAATATCCTTTCATGAATGGTCCTATGCTCGTGCAGACAATTAAAATCTACCAAAGAGGTACAAATTTAAAGTGAACTAAAAAAAATGTGCATCAATGTGATGTGAACTGTAAATGTGTATTTTTTTTTTCTAAGTAAAAGATGGACTTTGTTTCCCCCCCCCCCTAATTAAAGTATACTTACCTAGATAGATGCAGCATCTGTCCCCCGCCAGCTCTAAATGTGAAAGCTCAGTGATCACATGACCTTCTCATGAGTTCTCACTGCTGCTGTGAGCTGAGAGCGGTGACTGTCAGTTACCTTAGTCTGCTCTGTCCCCCCCCAGTCTGCTGTCAGCTGGTAACGGGTCACAGGAGTGCAGAAACAACTGCACACCTGTGATCCACAGGAGAAGTACAGCCAAAAGCGCTTTGGCTGTATGTCTTCTTTAAAGATTTTGTTTCCACGTACTGGTTGTATTTACTCATGTACATGGAGGCAGCTATATTTGCTCATTACATATCCATCTTCTGGTTCCTACCTAGTAGAACTATAAAACATCTCATTTACTGCTCCTTAAATTGGATCAGAACAGAAGTAGAGGGAAAATCTGCTACAGACGACATTTGTTCAAGAGACTATAAATGAAAAATGCTGACAGATTTTTTCCCCCATTGTCTGTTGTGTCTCCCAGACAGGAAGAGATATCTCCCCAAGGGGACACAAATGATACAGAGGTTATAACCATTCACTACACAAAGAAATTATTGTTTTGGCTTTAGATGTACTTTAGGCAGAGTCGTAGTGTTAGCTAAACTACCTTACCACTAGAGGTTCATATACGGGTCCAACATTTAATACAAAACCAAAAATAAAGCTTTGAAATATGTTACCATAAACACTGCAGTAATGGGTTGAAATTAAAAATATTTAAAAAAACCGTGGATTGAAGGCTAACACTAAAGTGTTACTACTAAACCCTGGACCCTGCATTCACTATATCCGCTCTCCCCGGACCCTGCATTCACTATATCCGCTCTCCCCGGACCCTGCATTCACTATATCTGCTCTCCCGGACCCTGCATTCACTATATCCGGTCTCCCCGGTCCCTGCATTCACTATATCTGCTCTCCCCGGACCCTGCATTCCCTATATCCGCTCTCCCTGGTCCCTGCATTCACTATATCCGGTCTCCCGGACCCTGCATTCACTATATCTGGTCTCCCTGGACCCTGCATTCACTATATCTGTTCTCCCCGGACCCTGCATTCACTATATCTGGTCTCCCTCCGGTCCCTGAATTCACTATATCCGGTCTCTCCGGACCCTGAATTCACTATATCAGGTCTCCCCAGTCCCTGCATTCACTATATCCGGTCTCCCCGGACCCTGCATTCACTATATCCGCTCTCCCCGGACCCTGCATTCACTATATCCGCTCTCCCCGGACCCTGCATTCACTATATCCGCTCTCCCCGGACCCTGCATTCACTATATCCGGTCTCCCCGGACCCTGCATTCACTATATCCGCTCTCCCCACCCTGCATTCACTATATCGGTCTCCCCGGACCCTGCATTCACTATATCTGCTCTCCCCGGACCCTGCATTCACTATATCCGCTCTCCCCGGACCCTGCATTCACTATATCCGCTCTCCCCGGATCCTGCATCACTATATCTGCTCTCCCCGAACCCTGCATTCACTATATCTGCTCTCCCATTAAAAAAGGAAAAAAGCCCACTGCAAAAAACACCAAAGTGTCACTATATCCGGTCTCCCCAAATCCCTGCATTCACTATATCCGCTCTCCCCGGCTGCATTCAAACTATATCCGCTCTCCCCATCCTGCATTCACTATATCCACTTCCCCGGACCCTGCATTCACTATATTCGTGTCCTGCATTCAAATATATCTGCTCTCAGTGATCCTGCACTCAATTGTGAGAAATCCCCACCAAAGGAGATTAAATGAACTCACCAGAGCTAATCCCCGGACCCTGCATTCACTATATCCAGCAACCCCGGATGTGCATTGGGACTATATGACCCCCCGACCCTGTCCAAATAGATATGGTGATGTCCCAGATACTTCATTCACTATATTCACAGCCCCTTTGACCCTGCATTCACTTATATCCACTCTCCCTCTGTCTCATACCTCATTCACTATATCCGGGACCCTGCATGACTATATCTGGCCTCCCAGTACCCTGCATTCACTATATCTGGTCTCTCCGGTGCACACTGCATTTCCTATATCCGGTATCCCAGGACCCACATTCACTATATCTGGTCTCCCCAGACCCTGCATTCGCAAAATATCTGCTCTCCCCGGACCCTGCAGATCACTATATCTGCTCTCCCCGGACCCTGCATTCACTAAATCTGCTCTCCCCCGGACCCTGCATTCACTATATCTGGTCTCCCCATGACCCTGCATTCACTAAATCCAGTCTCCCCGGACCCTGCATTCACTATATCTGCTCTTCCCGGACCTTGCATTCTGCTATATCTGTATCTCAACCCCGCATTCATATAAGCCGGTCTCCCCGACCCTTGCACTTTCCTTATACCTTTTTTATTAAAGAGATTTATAAAAAAACTCACATTATGTTTGCTCAGCGCTTTACTGCATGCATAACGGGAGACAATACAGCAACAATACAGTTCAATACAAGCTTGGGCTGCCCTGATCCTGGAGCTTACCCGGTCTCTCCGGACCTGCATTCACTATATCTGCTCTCCCCGGACCCTGCATCCCTATATCCAGCTCTGTCCCCGGACCCTGCATTCACTATATCCGCTCTCCCCCATTAGCTCTGGTGATTCACTACATCTCCTTTCCCCGGACCCTGCATTTCACTATATCCGCTCTCACCGGACCCTGCATTCACTATATCTGGTCTCTCCCCGGACACTCTATTCACTATATCACTAATGCTCTCCCTGGACCCTGCATTCACTTTATAAGTCTTGCTCTCCCCCCGGACCCTGCATTCACTACCGCTCTCCCCGGATCCTGCTATATCTCTCCCCGGTCCCTGCATTCACTATAGCTGCTCTCCCTAGACCCTGCATTCACTATATCCGCTCTCCCTAGACCCCGCAGTCACTATATCCGGTCTCCCCGGACCCTGCATTCACTATATCTGCTCTCCCCGGACCCTGCATTCACTATATCCGCTCTCCCCGGACCCTGCATTCACTATATCCGGTCTCCCCGGACCCTGCATACACTATATCTGGTCTCCCCGGACCCTGCATTCACTATATCTGGTCTCCCCGGACGCTGCATTCACTATATCCGCTCTCCCAAGACCCTGCATTCACTATATCTGCTCTCTCTGGGCCCTGTATTCACTAAATCTGGTCTCCCACAGTACACAGAACATAGAAATGCAATTTAGTAAATATAAACTCCTAAATACCTTTTCTCATGAGCAGTTAGAGCAGTCTTGTAACTTCTATCAGTGTCCAGCAGAATACTGTTTAAAGCTTATAGGAGGAGTTTTCATTTTGCTCTAGGAGTATGCAGAACCCCTGACCTCTGTCTGGACAGTGCGGATTGGCCCTGTGCTGATCACATGCACTCTCCGAAGAAAAAAAAAAAAAAAAAAACTCTCTAGCAATACACACCAAACTGAGCATGTGTACTGTGACACACATGATATGTCTTAAGAGGAGGACACTGGAAGAGGGGAAGATCAGAGCAGACAGGATCAAACAGCGTTTTTTACACCATGCAGAGGATTAACCGCTTAGGTTCCACAGTGAGTATATCAAGCATGCTTTACTGCATCTACAGACTCTGGATTTACTGGTGTGGGTTTAGTAACATGTTAAGGTCTCGATCACCTGAAATCTATGATTGAGCAGTGTTTTTTAAGCAGCTTGAGCCACCAGCAGAGAGCCCATTCATATCTATAATTCAATGGCTGTGCAGTCCCAAATGCAGACAGTGTGCGCTCAGGAACTCATGATGATGTTTGCAGATCCGTTTCACTGAAATGTAGCACCCGCTTCAGCAAACCAGAACGATTAGAGCCATATCACTATCAATCCTGTCACTGGTGATAATTCCACGTGGACATGGTTGTGAAAAAGCCACAAAAAATATTTCCCAGCTTCCATATGTTGTGCCATTGCTGGGTTACTGAGGAATCTTCCCGCATTGTTGGAAATGCTGAAGAATTTAAGTTGTTCCTGCTGTAAGCTGACCAGAAAAGAGCAACGTCGTTGTCATACAGCCAAGGGGATGAAACACATGGAAACAAGTTGTCACCCTGTATAGGATCACTAGTGGATGTGGCCCTCACAGAGCACAAACAGGAGGAGGTGGAGTGCCTTTCAGAACTTTTTTGGTAAATCAATGCAGGCCATAGACGGGTCGTTTATCGGCCGAATTTTCATCTGCACGAAAAATCGGCCACTATTCACGGCCGCAATGCAGGCCATAGATGGGTCGAAAATCGGCCGAAAATAAAATCGGCCGATTTTCGGATCGTTAGTGGGCTAATTGTTCGGCCGTTTTCCGGTATTTTGGCAGATTTTTTTTATCGGTAAAGTTGGAAAAAAATCGGCCGATTTTGCCGATCGGACGATTTTCGCGGCAATGATGGGCAAATCGGCCAATCTTTTTACCGATAAAAAAATCTGCGCATGAGCCGTGACCTGCAAGAGGAAGACAAAAAGAAGAGGAAAAAAAAAGAGGAAGAGGATGAAGAAGAAGAGGATGAAGAGGAGGAAGAAGAAGAATAGGAAGCAGAAGAGGATGAAGAGGAGGAAGAAGAGGAAGAAGAGGAGGAAGAAGAGGAAGAAGAGGAGGAAGAATGAAGAAGAAGAAGAGGATGAAGAAGAGGAAGAAGAGGAAGAGGAGGAGGAGAAGAAGAAGAAGAGGATGAGGATGAAGAAGAGGAGGAGGGGAGAAGAAGAGGATGAAGAAGAAGAAGAGGAAGAAAAAGAGGAAGAAGAAGAGGAAGAAAAAGAGGATGAAGAAGAAGAATGAGGATGAAGAAGAGGAATATGAAGAAGAAGAGGATGAAGAAGGAAAGAAGAAGAAGAAGAGGAAGAAGAAGAGGAGGAAGGAAGAAGAAGAGGAGGAAGAAGAAGAAGAAGATGAAGAAGAAGAGGATGAAGAAGAGGAAGAAGAAGAAGAGAAGAAGAAGAAGAAGAGGATGAATAAGTAGAAGAAGCAGAAGAAGAAGAAGAGGATGAAGAGGAAGATGAAGAAGAGGATGAAGAAGAGGAATTCTAGTCCGGCAAAAAGTGTCCCTGCAGAGAGCTCCGCTATTTCTTTGACAGTTCCTTGACATTTATAGCGGTTGCAACAATGTATCTATTTGTTTCCGAATAAAAACATCTGTATCCTAAATGGATACAAATAGATACAATGTTGCAGCCGCTACAAATGTCAAGGAACTGTCAAAGAAATAGCGGAGCTCTCTGCAGGGACACTTTTTGCCAGCTGTAGACGGGATGAAAATCGGCCGATTTTTTTTTTACCGTTGCTGGTAACGTCGGCCGCTTGAACGACCGATTTTTCGTTTTTTTAAAGAGAAAAAAACGTCCGGTTTTTTCCCCATCTATGGCCTGCATTAGTGGGGCAATGCTGTCGCCCGTTTTTCACAGATCTTCTCATTTCTTTTTATCGGTCATGCTGGAAAAATCCATGAAAAACTGTAGTTTTTCGTAGACATTGGTGGCAGCATCGGCAACGACCGATTCTTCGTTTATCAGCCGACAATTCAGCCGATAAATGGCCAGTCTATGGCCTGCCTTACTTTAGCTATTTTAGGATAGATTGCAACAAATTATGACAAGACTTGAAAATGGACAATTAAGCAGTGATAAGAGGACTAAAGTCTGGCCATAGATTACCCATTCTAAGGCTAGGTTCACACCTATGCATCTGATCCGTTTCTGCAGTGCTTTTTGCGGTGCGTTTTTTCACAAGCGTTTTTGATGTGTTTTTGTTTTCCAACTTGTTTCTGTGCAGATTAAAACGCATTAAAAATGTGCCAAAAACGTGACAAACACTCATCAAAAAATGCACTACATGCATTTCTGCAGCATCTCCATTGAACCAAAAACGCAACATTTTGCGTTTAAAAATGTCCTTGACCCTTTACGAAAAAACGCACAGATGTGAACGTGTCCCATGGGAAATCATGTTAAAAATGGACTGCTGTGCGTTTCTGCAAAACGCAACAGAAACGCTTAGGTGTGAACCTAGGAAAGGGGTAGGCAACCTGAGACCCGCAGGACTACAAGTTCCATCATGCCTCTGCAAGTCATAGCTGTAACTGTCAGTTTTTTAATGTTGTGATGCTTCATGGGAAATGTAGTTCCACAACAGCTGGAGAGTCGCGGGTTGCCTACCCCTGACCTAGGCTAACACATTTGAGTTTATGGTTTAACACACAACACAACTCCCCCCCCCTACAGTGTATCTCTGGCTGTGTATAAAGTCACAACTAATGAAAGGTCAGCCTTCACTCCAGTCTCTGGTAACATACATCTTGACTGGTTTCCCAGTTGCTGCTGACAAAAGACATTCAAATACATGTTACTACCACCAGGTTTCACAGTATGGATGTGTAGTGTTCATATGGTAATGAGCAGTGTTGACTTTTTTACCAAACTTGGCATTTTATGCCAGGTCCAAAGAAAACAGATTTGGGTCTCATCACAAGAGATGAGCCAGCCATGAGTTATAGCTTTCTAATGGATGACTCCTTCCATCTCAACTGTGGACTTCTGCAGCAAGTTCTCTCTGGCCACTTTTTTTGGGGCTAATTTTCTCCTCATCCATCTATGAGTGCGTTTATGGGCAATGTCACATTGGTGCCATATGCCTTCCATTTTTAAATAATTGACTTATTATATAACTCACCTCCACAATGAGCTCAATGTTTATTGCAACATAAATGCCACAAAATGTCAAAAAATGAATGCGCAGTCTAAAAATGTGTACTTTTACTTCCCAAGAAGTCATCATTCCTACGTCAACATTTTGGGGAGATACCTACAGGGGGGGGGATCTGGTGAGGTGCCCTATATCACATCCCTCGAGCATGTGACTGATGCTTTATGCTACCAGGCCAGAGTTGGGTAGTGATCTGTGGCTGGAAGGCACAGCCCTGCAGGACTAGACCATACTTGCCAACATATAATAAAACCTTTTTGTGATAAACCAAAAATAAATATGAAAATAAAATAAAATAACATTAAACCATAAAGTGTCCAATTCCAATAAAGTCTCAAATAATGTCCAATAAAGTCCAAAATTCCAAACTTTCATCATCCAATAAGAAGGATTGGCTCCTATTAGTCCAGCGAAAAACCTCAAAAAAATAAAAATTGGGATATATACTCTAGTGCATTACCTTTTATACATAAATAAACCCAATAGGTGCATACTTGCCAACAGTCATGAATTGCCTGTGACAGACTTGAATATTGGGGTCCCGCTGGGAAGCTTGTCCCCGGGGGGAATCCCCAAATTTTGTGGGGGGGGGGGGGGGGGGGGTGTGGGGGGGGGGGGGGGGGGGGGGGGGGGGGGGGGGGGGGGGGGGGGGGGGGGGGGGGGGGGGGGGGGGGGGGGGGGGGGGGGGGGGGGGGGGGGGGGGGGGGGGGGGGGGGGGGGGGGGGGGGTGGGGGGGGGGGGGGGGGGGGGGGGGGGGGGGGGGGGGGGGGGGGGGGGGGGGGGGGGGGGGGGGGGGGGGGGGGGGGGGGGGGGGGGGGGGGGGGGGGGGGGGGGGGGGGGGGGGGGGGGGGGGGGGGGGGGGGGGGGGGGGGGGGGGGGGGGGGGGGGGGGGGGGGGGGGGGGGGGGGGGGGGGGGGGGGGGGGGGGGGGGGGGGGGGGGGGGGGGGGGGGGGGGGGGGGGGGGGGGGGGGGGGGGGGGGGGGGGGGGGGGGGGGGGGGGGGGGGGGGGGGGGGGGGGGGGGGGGGGGGGGGGGGGGGGGGGGGGGGGGGGGGGGGGGGGGGGGGGGGGGGGGGGGGGGGGGGGGGGGGGGGGGGGGGGGGGGGGGGGGGGGGGGGGGGGGGGGGGGGGGGGGGGGGGGGGGGGGGGGGGGGGGGGGGGGGGGGGGGGGGGGGGGGGGGGGGGGGGGGGGGGGGGGGGGGGGGGGGGGGGGGGGGGGGGGGGGGGGGGGGGGGGGGGGGGGGGGGGGGGGGGGGGGGGGGGGGGGGGGGGGGGGGGGGGGGGGGGGGGGGGGGGGGGGGGGGGGGGGGGGGGGGGGGGGGGGGGGGGGGGGGGGGGGGGGGGGGGGGGGGGGGGGGGGGGGGGGGGGGGGGGGGGGGGGGGGGGGGGGGGGGGGGGGGGGGGGGGGGGGGGGGGGGGGGGGGGGGGGGGGGGGGGGGGGGGGGGGGGGGGGGGGGGGGGGGGGGGGGGGGGGGGGGGGGGGGGGGGGGGGGGGGGGGGGGGGGGGGGGGGGTGGGGGGGGGGGGGGGGGGGGGGGGGGGGGGGGGGGGGGGGGGGGGGGGGGGGGGGGGGGGGGGGGGGGGGGGGGGGGGGGGGGGGGGGGGGGGGGGGGGGGGGGGGGGGGGGGGGGGGGGGGGGGGGGGGGGGGGGGGGGGGGGGGGGGGGGGGGGGGGGGGGGGGGGGGGGGGGGGGGGGGGGGGGGGGGGGGGGGGGGGGGGGGGGGGGGGGGGGGGGGGGGGGGGGGGGGGGGGGGGGGGGGGGGGGGGGGGGGGGGGGGGGGGGGGGGGGGGGGGGGGGGGGGGGGGGGGGGGGGGGGGGGGGGGGGGGGGGGGGGGGGGGGGGGGGGGGGGGGGGGGGGGGGGGGGGGGGGGGGGGGGGGGGGGGGGGGGGGGGGGTGGGGGGGGGGGGGGGGGGGGGGGGGGGGGGGGGGGGGGGGGGGGGGGGGGGGGGGGGGGGGGGGGGGGGGGGGGGGGGGGGGGGGGGGGGGGGGGGGGGGGGGGGGGGGGGGGGGGGGGGGGGGGGGGGGGGGGGGGGGGGGGGGGGGGGGGGGGGGGGGGGGGGGGGGGGGGGGGGGGGGGGGGGGGGGGGGGGGGGGGGGGGGGGGGGGGGGGGGGGGGGGGGGGGGGGGGGGGGGGGGGGGGGGGGGGGGGGGGGGGGGGGGGGGGGGGGGGGGGGGGGGGGGGGGGGGGGGGGGGGGGGGGGGGGGGGGGGGGGGGGGGGGGGGGGGGGGGGGGGGGGGGGGGGGGGGGGGGGGGGGGGGGGGGGGGGGGGGGTTTTCTCTGATCCTCCCCCTTCTACTGTCCCCGATCCATCTGGGGGGGGGTGGGGCCTTGGGGGCTAGCTGCACATTCTCAGTTTGGTGTGTATTGCAAGAAATTTTTGTCTTTGTTTTTTGGGGGTGTATGATCAGCACAGGGCCAATCAATGGGGTCCAGAGGGTCAGGGGTCATGCAGGGGGACAGTCAGGGAGGAGGGGTGGGGTCACAAAACTGCTCTAACAGCTGATGAGAAAGGGGGATTTAGCAGGGTTTATATTTACTAAAATTATTGCACTTGCATGTTGTACTGTGGGAGACCAGGGGGGGTAAATGCAGGGTCCGGGGGAGACCAGGTATAGTGAATGCATGGTCCGGGGGGGAGACCAGATTAGTGAATGCAGGGTCCGGGGAGGGGGGTGGGGGTGTATGCAGGGTCCGGGGGGGGGACCATGATATAGTGAATGCATGGTCCGGGGAGACCAGATATAGTGAATGCAGGGTCCTGTTTGGTGGGGCAGGGTGGGGGGGAGGGAAATATAGTGAATGGGGTCCGGGGGTGGGGGGGGATATAGTGAATGCGGGGTCCGGGAGGGGCGGATATAGTGAATGCAGGGTCCAGGGAGACCGGATATAGTGAATGCGGGGTTTTTCAGAGCGGATATAGTGATTTTTTGCAGGGTCCGGGGAGACCAGATGGCATAGGAATGCAGGGTCCGGGGAGACCGGATATAGTGAATGCAGGGTCCGGGGAGAGCGGATTTAGTGAATGCATGGTCCGGGGAGACCAGATTATAGTGAATGCAGGGTCCGGGGAGACCAGATATAGTGAATGCAGGGTCCGGGGAGACCGGGATATAGTTCAATGCGGGGGGGGTCCGGGGAGAGGGCAGGGGGTCCAGGAGACGGGATATAGTGAATGGGGGGGTCCGGGGAGAGCGGATATAGTGAATGCGGGGTCCGGGGAGGAGCGGATATAGTTGATGCGGGGTCCGGGGAGAGGGATTTAGTGAATGCGGGGTCCGGGGAGAGCGGATATAGTGAATGCAGGGGGGAGACCAAATATAGTGAAATGCAGGGTGGGGGAGACCAGATATAGTGAATGCAGGGTCCGGGGAGACCAGGAAAGATATTGTGTGAATTTTTCCGGGGAGAAACCAGATATAGTGAATGTAGGGTCCGGGGAGACCAGGATATAGTGAATGTAGGGTCCGGGGAGACCAGATATAGTGAATGCAGGGTCCGGGGGAGACCGGATATAGTGAATGCAGGGTCCGGGGGATTGAGACCAGATATAGTGAATGCAGGGTCCGGGGGGGAGGTGACCGGATATAGTGAATGCAGGGTCCGGGGAGACCAGGTATATAGTGAATGTAGGGTCCTGGGCTTAGTAACACTTTAATGATTCTCCAGAGATTTTTTTTTTTTTTTTTAACCACTTGCCCTCCAGAGAATTTACCCCCCTTCCTGACCAGGCCATTTTTTGTGATACGGTGCTGCATTACTTTAACTGACAACTGCGCACCCCATATACTGCAGTAGTTCTACTATAGGGCGGCGGGGGGGGGGGAAAGCGGTTTTGTTTTGATAGTTTCTTGGTCTGCATAATTCTGTTTGTTTAGATATTGCTAACAAACCCAGGTTTTTTTTC